TTTTAAAAATATTTTGTTTATTTATTTGAGAGAGAGAGCTGGAGGAGGAGCAGAGGGAGAGGGACAAGCAGACCCTGTGCTGAGCGCGGAACTGGACATGGGGCTCAGTCTCACAACCCTGAGATCATGACCTGAGCCGAAACCGAGAGTCAGATGCTCAACTGAGTCACGCAGCCACCACCAACCCCGTCCCCAGATTGGTGTCTTTTATTTTATTTATTTGTAATTTTTTTTAAAGATTTTATTTATTTGAGAGAGAGAGTGACGAGAGAGCACGAACGGGGGGGAAGAGCAGAGAGAGAGGGAGAAACAGGCTTCCCGCTGAGCAGGGAGCCCAAGTGGGGGCTCGATCCCAGGACTCTGGGATCACGACCTGAGCTGAAGGCAGACGCTTAACCATCTGAGCCACCCAGGCGCCCTAGACCCACTTTTTAAATGAGAGCATATGCTTTTCTCCATCTTGCTTTTTTCACTTACAAAGCATCTTGGAGGTCAGTCTATAGTAGTAAGAAGACACATTCTTCATGCCGTTTTTATTTGGTATTCCGTTGTGTGGCTGAGCTGTAACTTATTCAGATGGTGTTCTGTTGGTGGCCACTTGGGATATTTCCGGGTTTTTGTTTGTTTGTTTTTGCTCTTACAAACATTGCTGCAGCAAATAGCTCTGTGCGTTTGTGTCTGCATATTCTTCCTGGTGAATTGTTGGGATAGATCCTTAAACATGGGACTGCTGGATCAAAGGGTAAATGCCTCTGTAGTTTTGCTGGATATTGGTCCGTACAGATGGGACCATTTTGCTTTCCACCAGCAAGATGGTATCTTGTACTTTTCCAAAATATCTTCATTTACATGATCTCATTTTATCTTTTGAACAACTAGTAAAACCTGGTAGGACAATGATTTTTTGTGACTATTTTCAGATGAGGTATATATAGTATAAAACATTTTAAAATTTCTAATTTTAATTAAAATGTTTGGCTCTTGCTATTAGCTACCTGTTCTTGCTGAGAAGTGAGGCCACCACTTGGACCACGGTTTAGTTGGCTACTTCTGGTCTGCTGCTGGTTTAGAAACCACCTAGCAGACGTTCTAGATTGTTCTCTAAAGTGAGAATAAATAGGTTCATACTCTCCCTTCCGCTTCCTGGTCGTGGCTGGATTTTGAGTATGATGTTGGCAGGGAGATGAAAGTTAGAACAGCGAAGCATTGTAGAATGGCAGAATTCTCCCGCTAGTCTCGTATCCAACCCCCAGCCTCCCTGTTTTTGCCACATACTAGGCTTTCTTCAGCTAAGGAGACTCCATAGGGCCTTAAAGAGGCTTTTTAACAGGTAAATTTTCTCAAGGAAAGCCGTTTGTCGCTCAAAGTCAACCAAGCCAAGCAACGATCTCCCTTTTCTCTCCCACTCTCTCTTCTCTCTGCCCCATCTGCAGAAGAGGAGGGGACCGAGGAGGCCGCCTCGGAAGCAGAGTCTTACCTCGACCTGCCGAGGCAAATTTCCCCGAAAACTACCAGAAAGATCCTGATGCTCCTGTGTGACGAGTCGGTGAGGCCGGCCGCGTGGGGCTGCACCGGAGGGACTCCTGGCCGGTGGCTCCCCGCGCTGGCTTCTCCTGTGCGGCTGTGGCCCAGACTGGCCCGGCCAGGCAGGAGGGCTCAAGCACTGAGCCGCAGGGCTGGGCTGGTTCCCGAGAGGCCCAGCCTCAGAGCTGCCCTCGGCGGGCCAACGGGTCCTCCCTTAGTGGGTCCGCAAGGGGTGGGCCAAGTTGGCCCCCCGCTCCTGCTAATTAAAAAAAAAAAAAAAAAAAAAGAGGCTGAGTCTGCAAGAGAAGGGGCGCCCAGTCTCCCCTCTGCGAACCCACCTGCCGAGGGCTGTGGCCACAGCTGACGTGGCCTTACCCCGGGAGCTCAGTCTGTGATTTCTCGGGGTGTGTTAGGCTTTGGATAGCTGTATACTATATATTAGCAAGACCCACTGGATTTCGTGTAAGGGGTGTTGGAGGTGGCTCAGCTAGGAGTTGAGGTGTTCCAGGAGCATGACTGGTGCATGATCCTGCATTCCTGAGATGAGTCAAAGAGGTGTAGCCGGGACTGGCAGCTTCCCATCCCCGTGGACAGTTTTCTGGGGCCAAGAGCTGGCTCTTGTCCCTGAGGGCGGCTCCTGCTGAAAGAGGCAGTAGGCAGGTGCTCCCCCCACCGACCCGCAGGCTTGCTGCCAGGGGCCACCTGTCACGCAGCCCTCCCCCGGCCTTCCCAGCTCAGAGTGGGTGCCGGGCGCCCAGTGTCCCCACCCGCCCCCCACTTCCTGTGCACTGTGTCAGGATACGGTGTGCCCACCCCCCGCCATGCCTCCCTCCCTCTCCCGCAGCTCGGTGCCTGCCGCCCTGGTCTATGGATATTGGAGGGCTAGTCTCTGAGTGAAGTGATGTTGCGTGGGCGGGAATCTGTGACTGGAGCAGGTCTGGGCGGCTCTGGGGAACTTAGCCGTTTGCCCAGGGGCTTGTGGGTGAGGTGAGCCAGCACCCTTCGTCCATGAGTATTGGCTTTGTGTCCGGGAAGGGCTCTCAGGCATCCCAGGAAGGACTTCCTCTGGGGTCCTGCTGCCCAAAGTCTCATCCCTGGAGTCATCGCTGGTAGTTACACAGAGGTAGGCTGCAGACCCAGCACTCATTTCTGAAACCTGTCTCTGACTAGAGATGTCATCTTCCTTCCCAGGGTTTCCTCGTAGAGAGCAAGCTGCTGAGCCTTCTCCTTCCCCTGGAGAAGAACGAATGCTATCTGCTGAGGTTGGACGCCATTTTCTCAGTGAGTCCCACTGGGCTGAGTTGATGGGGTGGGGGCCTCATTCTATGCCAGCCTCCTCTATTTTTCCAACATTGCCTTGGCCGTGGGAAGAGATACAGGTCTCCCAGGCTTCCCTGGGCTTGCTGTCACCTCCTTCCCTTTCCTCGTTCTCCATGCCCCAAATTGGCCACGAAGTCTCCCAGCCCTGACCCTTCCTCTACCAGCTTCTCTCTCATGGCCTGGCTCTCAGACTCTAGGTTCTCCTCTGCACCCCTAAACTCGGATGTGTGTCCAGCCTCCTCTAGCATTCTCATATCCCCCAGGCCTGTACAGGGCTGTTCCTGACTCTGAGCATTCTTTCTCTGCTCGGATGTGATCTCACTGTGCTTCCCTGGTGTTGAGTGGCCTCACTCTGGGCCATGGCAGGTGCTGGGGGTGTTCGGGGGAACAGCCAAACCTCCTGCTCTTAGGAGCTGAGGGTCTGGTAACTCTGGTAGCCGGTGGACTTCTTGCTGTGGTGTTTGAGCAATTCTCCTATTTTCCCCCAGGCCCTTGGAATTGAAAGTGAGGACGACCTATATAAACTGGTGAATTTCTTCCTCAAATACCGAGTTTATCATTCACCCTCCAGTCAGGTAATGTGAAATGCAATAAAAAAGAGAGCGTTTGAAATTCTGGAAGCCCCCAGAGGGCATTGCTGCCTTTCTGTCATACTTCTGGAGAAATAGTGAGGGTTTTCTGTCAGAGATAGCTAACTTAGCGTTTCCCATACTATTACCTTTTCTATTTGCAAGGGAAAGAATGGCTGGGGATGGGAGGCTGTTCTCACACTAAGGCCCAAAGTGTCTTTTCCTTGGCCCTTCCTCAAAGCCAGGCTTCAGCCCCTAGGAGCCCTGGGCCCACCAAGCTCTGAATATTTTGATCCTCACCACTTTCCTGCAAAGCAGGGCCCATCTGTAATACCCATCTTGATTGTAATGGACTCTTCTGAAGAAGCCATCATGTTAAAAATATTATAAAGTTTTAATTTATTTATTTATTTATTTATTTTTAAAAAGATTTTATTTATTTATTTGACAGAGAGAGAGATAGCTAGAGCAGGAACACAAGCAGGGGGAGTGGGAGAGGGAGAAGTAGGCCTCCTGCCGAGCAGGGAGCCCGATGTGGGACTCGATCCCAGGACCCCGGGATCATGACCTGAGCCGAAGGCAGACGCTTAACGACTGAGCCACCCAGGCGCCCTAAAGTTTTAATTTAAAAATTAAAAACTTAAATTAAAAAATACGTTTCGTACTGCTGGCTCCAGGGTGAGTATCCTCATATGCTTCCGAAAAGAATTGGCTGGGTGAACAAAACCCAGAAGCTGTAAAGGGGGAAAAATAGGATCTATTTGACTACATTAAAAAAACAAAAAAACAAAAAAAACCCCAACCGTGTGGGGCAAAAATCACTATAAGCAAAGTTAAGATACAGATGACATTTGGGGGGGAGTATTTTTAACTCACATCACAGTTAAGGGCCCATTTCCTTAATATACAAAGAACTCATATAAACCAATAAGAAAAAGACCAACAACTCAATGGATAGGACAAGGGATATGAACAAAAATCTCCTACAAGAGGCGATACGAATAACTTTTAAACACATGAAAAGATAACCAGGCTTCTTATGATAAGAGAAGTGCAAATACTGTTCCAAATTCCATCTGCACCTGTCACGTGGGCAAGACTCTGCGAGTTCGATAGCACATGCGGACGGCCCAGGCGTGGGAACCAGACCCGCTCCTGTCACTGCTGTGAGAGCCCATTGTCACCGCGTGCAGCGTGGGTGACAACACCGTATGCCCTGGCCCCTGCAATTCTTCCTGCAGCCATGTCTCAACACGATGAAAGTGTTTATTGTAGCTCATTGGTTTCCACGCCACTTGAAATGGGAGAAGGTTGAAAATAACCTCTAATTCCATCATGAAAGGATCGATTACCTCATCAGCGGGGCATTGACACAGTGGAATACTATGCACCAGTAAGAAAAAGACCAAAGCAGTTCTTTACGTATTTTTTTACGTGAAAATATCTCTAAGGTTTATTGGTATGTGAAAAACACCAAGTGCCGAACTGTGTCTGCGGTAGAGTTTCATTCGTGTGAGAACGGGAGGGAAAGCATTGCTTGTATGGACAGAGGATTTCTTTGGAAGGATGCGTAAGACATTGATGACGTTGGTTTCCCTACGGGAGGTGAACTGGACTATGAGACAGGAGTAGGAGGAAGACTTTTTTTAATTAAAAAATTAAAATGTAATTTGTGATTTTTGACTCAAAAAGATGTATAGTGTCAGCTTTAGGAATATCAATAAAATGAACACCGATGAGCCCCAATTTAGAAATAGAAGATTATCACTGTTTTGAAGCCCCCTGTGTGCCTCTCCCTGATCCTATCCCCCTTCTCTTCCACCCTTTCACCATTTCTTCATTCCTGTAAATGTGTCCCTTGGCATCTTTTCTGTAACTTTCTGTAAACTTTTCTCTACTTTTTCTCTATCTGCCTGTCTTCAGACACTCATGCTTGCTGTGTGCCCCCGATCCATAGTCACCCTTACGCCTTTCTCCAGCTCAACCCCTGGCATCTGTCAACCCCCACAGGAGCAAACAAGCCTGTTGTCAGCGCTGGAGCCAGGAGAGCAGCCAGACCTCGAGGGACAGAAAGAGGAAAGCCTCGTGGAAGGGGAGCCGGAAGAGAAGGAGGCCCCCCCTTCTCCCAGGCTCATCCATCCCAACGATGTCCTCAAGATTCTGGAGGCCTTTGTCATGGGTCTAAAGAAACCCAGGTGTGCTGGAGGGCTCAGGGAAGGTGGAGGCCAAGCAGATGCTCATGTGTGCAGAGGCTGGGGAGGGGGGAGGAATCCGTGGACGCGAAGGGAAGGAGTGGGTGTAGAAGCGATTTGCATTTTCTCATGCATCATTCATTCAGCGGTCAGTCACGGGGTCTGCTGTGCCCTGTGGAGGTCGCACCTTGTGAGCAGGACGATGGCCAGAGCATAACGAGGTGTCCTGTTGCTCTGGGGAGGCCATGGCCACCCCATCTGGCATGTCTGAGGGCTTCAGGCACCCAAACTGGGTTTTGCTAGGTGGATAAGTGGGGGAAGAGCCATTTCAGGTGTCAGAGTGTGGGGAAGGGTGTGTTCAAGAGGTGTGGCTGGTGTCAGAGTCTTCGTGGGAAGTGTGGCCGGTGGGTGGTTGGGGGGCCAGATCTCGGAGAGCCTTGCCCGCTGTGCCCAAGACCTTTGTCTTTACCCTTGAGTGGACTGGAGCCAGAACGTGGTCTTGAGCAGTGGGTGGAGCCACGCTTAGGCTTGCATTTTAGAAAGATCGCTTTGGTGGCAGGGAGGGGGCTGGTGCTGGATGCAGGAGAGCAGCCGGGCGCTTTGTCCTGGTGGAGGTGATGATATCCTGGATCAAGGCTATCCTTGAGGGCAGCCGAATTCTGAGAGGGGTTTTAGATGCGTTAGTGAAAGACATGGACCCAGTAGTGGCATGGAAGGCCAGTGAGGTAAACTGGCCGAGGGAAGGGGGTGGGAGAGGACTCCAGGGATGCTGTCACAAAGGCGACAATGGCACCAGGAATCAGGAACATTGATGATAGTCGTGTGCCCTTTCAGAGAATCTGCCAGAAACCGATAGACCGGCATAGCTGAGTGGGGAGGTGTCCGGTGGGAAAGCGAGAGTCTGTGAGGGGCGGGCTCTGTGGCTGGCACTGCGTGGGGGCCCAGGGTGGGGGCAGATGGAGATGATGCGACATTTGCTCTTAACCTTCAGGGACTCTCGGGCACCAGTGAAGTTGAAGTATGTGCGGGATAACTCGAAGGACTCTGCGTATTGGGAGGCCCTGACCACGGTTATCCCTGACACCACGCAGAACCTCTGGGACGCTCTGTACACAGCCCTGGAGAAATACCAGTAAGCCCGCATGTCATTGTGCAGAAGGAGGGGGCCAGACAGGCGGTGGGGAAGGATCCTGCTTGCCGTGGCCACATTTGCCACCTCCCTGGTTTGGAGAGAAAAGCCGCCTTTGGAAGGAAGGCTCCCGCCGAAGGGGCCTGGGGCGTTGGGTGGCTGGCCCTGCGGCCCTGCCCTCCTGTTCTGTTCCTGCCCGCCTGGTTCGTTCAGGGCAGACAGTTTGCGCTGGTGGGCGAGGCTTCTGGGCTCCTCTTCCGCCTCCAACCAGAACAGAAACCCAGAGATCCTGGCCCCTCCTTGGCGGAGAATGGAGGAGGATCCAGTGAGCCTCTAACTGATTTTTCTGCCCAAAGCCTCATCCTGACCCAGAGGGCCAAGCTGCTGATAGAAAACAACTCGCTGGAGCAGCAGAACACAGAGCTCCAGATGCTGCTTCAAAAGTATCTAGATTCCAAGGTGGGTGACAGGGAGGCTCCGAGGAGGGTAGGCAGGAGGCTGGGGGAGGCAGTGGGACTGCTCTTAGGAAATGAGTCTCTTCCCTCACTAGAAGCAAGGGAGCGTTGAGATGTGACATAAAATATCAACAGTCGTACCTCAGGTTGGGACAGAATGATCGGGCAAGGGAGTGGACATTGCCTGAAGCCTCCTCCTGGACATCTGGGCTATAATAGTGCCCCTCGGATGCCGTGGTCTTTGGTGCCCGCTCCTTGCTGGACCGTCCTCCGAAGCAGGGCCAAAGGCTGTGATGACGTCCCAGGCCACAGGGCCCCTCCTCATGACATTTCTTCTTTGCTCCTAACCCCTCTGTGAAGTCGATAGGGCACAGGCGATTCTCCCAAAAAGGAGAATCAAAACTGGGAGACCCTGTGACGTGCCCAGAGCCCTGGGCTCTTCCCACTCTGCCGGCCAGGTTGTCCGGCCTGGGATATGACATGGCGAGAGGAAGCTCCAAGTGGGACAGATGGTCCCTGGCCCCCACTCTTGATCACTCCAGTGACGGTTGGGGCAACTCCGCCGTGGCCTGCAGGAGAAGAAGTCCCACCGTCTCTGCTCCGAAGGTTAGAATCCATTCGTCGCACAGTTGCTGACTCGGCTCTCCTAGTGTGGACTCCTTCACGTGGCGCTGAGGCCATGGGCCTCGACACACCGGGCTGAGGGTAGGCCCTCCGTCACCCGCTGTGTGTGGGAGAGGTGACCGGGGCCAGCCACAAGCCCAGGAACGGGGAGTGTGGCCCTGCCGTGGTCGCGGGCCCCGGGCCACTGCTGAACAGAGGATGTGGTGAGCCTTGGTGTCGTGACGGACATGAGGGCTGTGTGGCCCACGCTTTCGTCCGTGCTGCCGCGCACAGGAGGATGGGGAGGTGCGGGCAGGGGCAGGGCTGGACGGGTGCAGGGGAGACGGAGGATTTAAGAGCGTGGCTCAGAGCAGAGGTTCAGAAGGTTACCAGAGGTTAGCTGGCGGGAGCACAGGCCAACCCAAAGCCCTAGGACTTCTCTTCCGAAGGAAGGCAGACTGCGGGCTTTCCCAGCACCCGGAAGCACGTGGGGAGGAAGTGCTTGCCGAGAGTTGGAGCCCTGAGGAGAGCCGACGCGAGCACCTGCTCCCCCGAGGTCACGAAGAAGGAGGGCCCTGGGAAAGAGGTGATGAGCCGTACTCTTTCTTTTCCAGATAAACTCTGAACTGCAAGTTCCACCAACTCAGGTGTTCCGGGTACCCACAAAATAGAGCCGGGCCTCGGAAGGCTGCCGTGTTAAGGTGCGGGCTGGCGCTGGCACGTGTCACCCGGGCACCTGCCTGGGGCCACTCTGGACTGGCCAGAGCTGCCGTGATCGGGCCTGTCAAAAGAAGGCCGAGCGGTTACCTGTATCCTGCCGTCATGATTAAAGTCTTTAAAAAGTTGTGGCTGAATCTCTTCAAAGAGCTCAGGTCCCCTGAGCTACTGGCCCTTGACCCCACCTCATGTCATGAGGAGACTTTGTCCCCACCTCAGACCGTGGTGGAACAGGCCTGTCACTGTGGGACTGAGCTGAGGCCAGTGGCATGGGACTCACTTCTTGCTTTTGGGGGCAACGGGTGGTCTATGAGTGGAGGCTGGAGCTTTTGGGGCTCCTGCAGGGTCAGTGTGGAGCCCAAGGCGGGGCTTAAACTCCTGACCCTGAGATCAAGCCCTGAGCTGAGATCAAGAATTGGATGCTAAGCAACTGAGCCTCCCACGTGCCCTGCGCTCTTAAGCCTTCAGACTGTCCTTGGGCCTGCAGGACCCTTTTGGTGAGCTTTTGGGGTCCCCGTTGCCACCTGGTATAGTGCGAGGCTCTTCCCGTGGGCAGCCTGGGCAGGTGGCCCAGTGCCTTAAGCCCTCCCTGAACCCTGGGCCACGAGGCTATCCAAAGGGGAAGAGCCGGAGGGGCCCAGCTGGTGCTGAGTTTGCCAACCTCAGAGGGCTCCCAGACCCTGGGCCCCTCCCTATACTGGTCCCCCCACTTGGCCAAATGCAGACTTCTCAGCTCAGTGTTTAATTCCTTTTATTAAGAGAAAAACCACCACTCAAGAAAGGAACAACAGCCAACAGCAACCCAGCTCTCAGGGCAAGTACCCTCTCCCATCCTGGCCTCCACGAGGGCCTGGCGGGGCAGGCGGGCACGGGGGGGTGGGGGGGCACCGGGGCTCACCCTCAGTGCTCCTCATCTGGGCTTCTGAGCGCGGGACTGGGCAGAGGGAGCTCTGGGAAGCGATAAAAACCCACAGGCAGGGCAGGGATGGGGCTTGTGCACCTACCACGGCAGCTCCCTGGGCAGGAGGAGGAGGCACTCGGGAGGGCCGCAGGGCAGAGGCAGCCACCGCCACGCCCTTCGTGCGAAGGGTCTGGCCCACGTGTGCAGAGCAAAGACGGGTGGTGTGGCTGCCCGCGCGAGATTCTGTGGCGGAGGGAGGGTGATGCTTTTTGCTTGTTCATTCTTTTTCTAGCTCTGGGCACTCGCTAATTCTCAGTGAATTCCATTAAAGCTTTACTCCTCCACTGGCAGGCCCGGGGGGGTGGTTCCGGGGTGGCTTTACCCGAGCCAGGGGTGCCCCAGCCAGGAGGGGCAGGACCCCACTCCTTCTCACCCTTCCCACCCCACAGGCAGGGACCAGGTGGGTGGCACGGGGCAAGCAACAGGCTTGGGAGGGAGGATGAGAGGGGCCGGGTCACCGGCCCAGCAAGCAGGAGGCAGGCTTCTGGGACCTGAGGCCACAGGGGAGGGACACTGGGCTTCCTGCGCTGTGGGGCTTCACGCCCCGAGCAGCTTCTTGACCGTGTAGCCGGGGAGGCTGTAGAGGAAGAGGGCCAGCAGCAGCAGCCCCAGCAGCGCCAGCACGATCTTGATGATGAGCCACTTGTACCGCGTGCAGATGAGGTACTTGATGGACTTGAGGGGGTTGAGGAACCAGACGAAGGCCGTGTCGGGCCGGCTGGGGGCAGAGGGGGAGCCGCGGTCAGGCAGTGGGCCTCTCCACCTCTCCCCCTTTCTGAGAACATGAGCGTCGGTCCCCACCGGGCCCTGCCGAGGGTCTGAGGAGCCCCTGTGGGACGCACTCCGCTCGCTGCCCTGCCTTCTGCACAGCCTCCCGGCCAGGACGTGCCTGCCTGTCGTTGATGTTATGAAACAGGAGGGTTTATAAGACGTCAAGACAGAAAATTCAAGTACTGAATAGGCTTTTTTCAAACTCCTGTCCCAGCAGCCCCCTCCAGAACCTTCGGGGCGGAGTGCAGCTCCAGCGCAGGGCACCCGCTTTCCAGGCCCGGCGGTGATGGGCAAGCGAGGCCCGTCTGAGCCTCAATTTCCTTACTTACACAGCAGGGTTAATGGCGGACCCTGCCTTCGGGGCTGGTGCGGGGCAGGGCGAGGAAGTGAAGGCGCAGGGCTAGGCCCCCAGGCCCCCCGGCCCCCCAGGCTGCTCAGCAGATGGCACCTGCTAAGCTGGGGGGACGGGATGGAGACCCTTCCCGGGCCACACGGCGGAAAACGGCTCCGGGCCGCGAGGTGGGGGCCGGTGGGAACTGGCTGCGAGAACCCAACTGCTGGCGAGTCCTGGCCAAACCCTTCCCCGTCCCCTGTCCACATGCCAACTGCTTTCTGCCAGTGGCACTGGCGTAGAGTCTGTCATTCTGCCACGAGGACAGGAAGCGGTGTCCGGCCCAGAACGCTGGGCCGGCAGTGTGAAAACCTAGGCTGGGTCTCAGCTCTGATCTGCTCGGGGGCCTTAGGCAAGTTGCCGTGCCTCTCTGGCCCAGTCCGCACTCACATACGACAGTCCCTTGGGTTCTGAGAGCCCAGGGGGCCGTTTGGCGGCTTGGGAGTTGGCGTGTGCGCGCACGTGTGCAGCCGTGTGTGTGCGTGCGCACACGCGTGGGTGCCGCCTGCTGAAGCTCGGCGGCCTGCGGTCCGGAGGGACAAGTGAGGAGCCCCGGAGCCAGCAGGAGGCCAGGCCCAGGGCCCCGGCGCCTTCTTGGCCGGGCAGCCGGCACCGAGCAGAGGACGAGGGCGAGCAGGAGTGTGAGCAGCGGTACGTGCGCCACAGGAAGGAGCGGGCCGACTGGAGAGGCTTCAAGAACCCCAAGCAGCTCGCGTCTGGCCGCAGCGGCAACAGGGCCGAGGCAGCGCGGACAAAGGACGCGGAGGACGAAGGCCCTGGCTGTGGCAGGGGCCTCGCAGCTGGGGGCGGGGGGCGCCCCTGGGCTGAGTGTGTGCACTTCTGGGCACCTCCCCCGCCAGCAGGGCTGCCCGGCGCCCCCCACTCCACGCCGCCGCCGCCGGCTTCTGGCAAAACTAGGGAGAGCGTTAACTCTGCGAGGCGGGGCCTTCCCCGGAGAGGCGTCGCTCTCCTGCAAAGGTGGCCCATGCTTTGGTTCAGAGGGAAGCACGGATTCCAGGGCGCAGCAGACAGGACAGGGGGCTGCCCTGCCCAGCAAGGGACAGAGAGCGCAGAGGTGCCTGCAGGGCCGGAGCAAGAAGGCCAGAAGGTTCCGGCCCCCCCTTCCCGCTCCCGTGGCCCCAGACACCGGCATGGCCGGCAGCACACTCACTTGGGTTTCTCTAGGGGGTCAGGTTCATTGCGGGCCAGGCCCACAGGACTCTTCTCTGCCTCCTCAGCGGTCAGTAGATGCAGCTCCGCCTCCACCTTGCCCTGCAGAATGGAAGGGGCCCAGCGCTCAGGCCGTGCGCCAGGCCCTCAGCACCCTAGCTGCGCCCAGCCCTGCCCTCTGCCCGAGCAGCCGTGGTCCCCACCGTGAGCTCGAGCTCGTCATTCTCATTGCGGGCCAGGAGGGGCCACCAGCCTTTGACGCGCTTCTGCTTGAAGATGGAAACCAGGGGCACGTCCACCTCCCCCGTGGCCATCTCCATGGTGCACAGCTTGGCTGTCTTTGCGCCGCGAGGAAACCGGTTCAGGTCCAGCTCGATGGCCCCTGTGGCAGCCTTGCAGTCAGCTCTGACGACCCTCCCCAGGCTGGGCTCCCCCTGCCCGCCCCCCTCCCTTCCCCGGCCCTGCACCCAGGAAGTCGTCTGCGGAGAAGTGGTCGGCGTCCCAGATCTGCAGGGTGAGCCGCGCGGGGATCTTGTACTCCGTCTCGTCCCAGGAGAACATGGACTCCTTCTTGGAAATGACAATCTTCTCCTCAGCGGCCAGGTAGTCGAAGGGGAACAGGTAGCGCCAGTTGAAGTTGCCCTCGCCGGTGAGGGAGTGATAGTGGACATCCGTGTCCTGCTTGTCCTCCTGCTGGCCCTTCAGCCACCTGCCAGGTGCCATCGGCTCCAGAACGGGGGGCCACCCGCAGGGAGCCCCCTCCCTCCTCGCCTGCCTCCCAGGAAGGTGGGCTCACCCCCTCCCTGCCCCAGCCCGGTGCCCTCTCACCCACCCCCGCACAAAAATGTCGCTGGACTTCTCCCCAGTGAAGAAGTCATCGTCCTCCAGGACCACCTCGTCCGTGTTCCACACGATGACGCGGAGCTCGTACCTGGGCAGGGGAGAGGCTGCCTCGCGGTCTGGGGGTGGGGGCTGCCCCAGGGTCTTGGGGTGCAGATGGGGCAGGTAACCGAGGGGAGTCCTGGGGACTCGGGGTGAGCCAGGCTGGGGTGGAGAGAGCTGATTCAGGGGAGGGGGCGAGGACGGGGAGCTGAGGGGACAGGGGGATGTTGGGGCCCTGGGTGAGGGAGGGAGGGTCACGGGCCAGCACAGCTGCTGTGAGGAGAGCCCTAGGGGAAGCCCGACTGGCCGGCATGCCAGGACCCAGAGCACACTCCTGGACAGGGAGGCTGACCCAGGGCTGCTGCTGGGGGCTGCTGAGCACGATCCCGGTCTCCAGAGGCCAGAAGACCCTCCTGCTCTAACACAAGTGCACATTTAAGCCCAGCAGCTGGCAGGGGACACCCGCGGAATCTGGTTTCCTTTATGCCCTTGTCCCTGAAGAGGATTTTTCCCTTTGAAGTGTAATTGTCATTGCAAATCGGTGGTTACATTTCAACCATTAGGAGGAAGGTTGAGTCACCCCCTCCACGTCGCTTGGAGCGCTGCTCTCCCTGGAGTTAGGGCGTTACACCCTGACTACAAGTCCCGGGGGGACACAATGGGGTGAGGTGTCCCCTAGTGGCCGGCCCTGGGACAGCACACTCGTGACCTCGGGCCTGGAGGCTATTCCAGGCAGAATTTGCTCTAGAATTGGCAGGACTCAGCGCAAAATGGAAATGCGGGACCCCTTGTTAAAAAATTAAGAATTTAAATATTGCCATCTTGAAATAAGCGTGGGGCCCCTCTGAGTGTGCGGGGTCTGTGCTGCTTCCCCACCCAGGCAGTTGGCCTTGGTTCCAGGCCCTGAGGAGGTCAGAACTGGCAGCAACTCCGTCCTGCCATTTTACAGATGG